GAGGACATGGTAAACAGGAATATTACATGAAATCGATCATTCGATGAAGAAAGTCTCAGGGATCCTTTTCATTATATTTTATTTTATTTTTTTACTATGAGCTATTTTTGCTGTAAAACATGTTAATTTCAGAGACTAGTTGTTAGTCAAATATTGGTGTTGATCATCCTGTTTGCTTTATACATATAATTTAGACATGTTATTTTGTTTCATTAAGAAAAAGAAGTTGCATTTTATATTGATGATGCTGGATAAGCTGATTCTCTGAGAGAAAATATGATTCTGGACCTTGTTAATCAAGAATTAGGGACCTTGTTAATCAAGAAACCTTACATTATGGACTTCGTGAATCAAGACACATCCATTATGGACTTTGTTAATAAAGAAACCCTACATTATGGACTATTTAAACCAAGACACATCCCATTATGGACCTTACTAATCAAGAAACCCTACATTATGGACACTGTTGACAACTACTGTCTCACATAAGAGAGAAAATGCCAATGATTCCTTACTCCAGTAGTTTGGACATGGGGACATATTTAGTGTGAATTGTCATGTTCAGACTAAAAGGGTCTACGATTCATTAATCCCGTGATTCACACAGTTTTGTTGCTGACCTGAATTATCTGAAATATTTACATCACAAATCAACTTATTTCAAATTATCACCTTAAAGATCATACCTTAAGAATTCAAATCAACTTATTTCAAAAAAGTCACAGCTCCTCCAAAATGTTTTAAAAATTTTGCCATATGATGTTTGGGGATCTATTCTTATAATTTCCACCACTAGTTTCACCTTTTCCATCAAAAACGAAATCTGTTTTGACAGCTAGTTAGGACTGAGGATTTGCTCGTGTTTTGTTCAGAGACATTTTAGTTGGGATCATTCTTGAAGGTCAGTCCAGATAATGATTTTAGTGGTTCTTGAGGCATTTAGAAGTTGGTATTCAAGTAAAAGGTAAATATTATGGATGACAACTTCTTCTTTATTGTATGTCACAACGTTTCTGGGCTATTCCTTGTATTGTTGAATAGTAAAAGCCGGCGCCAGGTGAATTGTAACAAACAAGATACATCAATGGGTAGATATACGTTACACACAAGACTGACTGACTGACTGAGTTTGGTTTTACGCCGCTTTTAGCAAGATTCCAGCAACATCACAGAAATGGGCTTCACACATTGGACCCATGTGGGGATTTGAACCCGGGTCTTCGGCGTGACAAGCCAATGCTTTAACCACTAGGCTACCCCACCGCCCCAAACACACAAGACTGACTGACTGACTGACTGAGTTTAGTTTTACGCCGCTTTTAGCAATATTCCAGCAACATCACGGCAGGGGACACCAGAAATAGGCTTCACACAATGTACCCATGTGGGGATTCGAACCCGGGTCTTCGGCGTGACAAGCCAATGCTTTAACCACTAGGCTACCCCACCGCCCCAAACACACAAGAAGCCAGTGTTGCATGTATATATCCAATTATTTTAGAAGATCTGTAAAAATGTTAACATTAACACATGATGCAATTGTGAAAAATGAATATATGGATATCTGTTTGTTGCAGAGTGAGAAAGATATTCTTTAATTATCCATAACGCTAACACTAGAGTTTATCTGAAGTCATTCAGCAAATCAGCATATTTCAAGAAAGGAGTAGTTACCAACACAGCACATATTAAGATAAGTCTGAAAATAACATTGACATAAACAATTCAGAGAAACAGTTTCATCAAAATTGCATTATAGCTACACAAGTCCGGAAATGCCATGGTGGTCAAGGAATTGACATTCTAGCACCACTGACCATCCTTCAGTCACGATGTTTACTTATGAAGTTGAGCAGCTGCTGAGAGAGGTGCTAAAATGTTCCCTGGCTCTCCTATTCTACTTGCCTCTGACTTATCCAAGAATAAATATTAGATATAGGAAGTATGTTTGTATTGGTAATAAACCAGGAAACCAGGTGTGTTTATCCAAACAGGGGGCAATATGTATCACCTTTGTATATAGCTACCTTCTAGAAATTGACACAGGTAAACAATAGAGATAAAAGGGATGCCTTGGTGATAAGATGATATTGACATGGAATTACAATGTACTTGAATCTCTGTTGTAGGTGTATGATTTATGAAAGGTAAATATTTTCCAAATGAAATATTATGTATTTGATATTGGATGATCCAATAAAGTCTTATTCATGGTGACAACTTCACACATCAGAAAGTGAGGAACATATATTTTATGAGTATATCTTATGGAAGTTTTTTATTCATTTTCATCATCAATGGACTTATAGACAGAAGTTAAAAGTATTTATTGCAGTAAAGAAAGTGCCGAAAATATTCATATACTCATTAGAAATTTCTATCATTAGTTGACTCCATTGTACAATTCTGAGAATATCATGCCTGTGTGTATGAATCGCTGTGAAATAGTGATACTAGTTGTTCTCAAATAAACATTAGTTATAATCAATTTGAACTTGCCTTTCTTCTTTCGTATATTAGTTTGGCATAAAACTTTAGGCACTTTATGTGTGATTTATTGCCATCAGTTTCAATACACTTGTAGCTGAGACATCTTTTGTGTCAATTCTGGAATATTTTTTACCATGATAGTCCTGTTATCCAGTTGACTAAGAAACAGACAGACTCTTGAATGTACTTCATGACTGACAGCCCTAGCAAATTCAAAAAGATCTTTCAGTTGAGATTAATCTCTCTTCTTCACCCTCCTCTATCCAAAGAAATGTCCAGTCAGTGTCACCCGATGCAACTGACAGATGGACAGTTAGCTCTTGACCACTAGCCAACAATAGAGTCAAATCTGACCTTGAAAAAAAACTTGGTCAAGAGAAATTGAGACATCAGCTTCTTTTCTTAACACTGTGTGACCCTGGTTTAAGACCACTGACCGATGGTCACCTGTGGTCAATGGCTTGTCCAACACCAGCAGAACATGCTTTCATAATGGACATATGTTTCTATTGTGGGTTAACTGATTTTCTTAGCTATGGACATGCCAATGTTTAATTATTGTATCATCACTATTGGTCAAACACTAATGTTAACACCCTGTTCAACATGGCTAAATGTGACACAACACATCATATGATTATAGTTGAAAATTTGTTGTCTGCTTTTCAAAAACTAAATTTCAAAATCTAAATTTCGAAAGCATATTCAAATGACTCAACAATATTGATTTGCAATTATTGAATCACAAATTTAACACTTTCATTGTTTTTTTAAAATAAAATTTTATTTATAAACTTTTACAATATTATTTACATTCCAGATATTTTACACATTTTCCCTCATGATCAACTCCATTACAATTCCATTTATGTCGTCTTCAATTTTAACCACAAGAATACAACATAAAATACTTATGCCAACCAATTTCCTGAAATGTGAAAGAAACAAATCTTCACATGGATCACATGACTTGACATTTTTTACAATTTTCACCATGTTTGTGTCCACCCCTACTTTAGCCCTGTCAAATGTACTGACCATTGTCCAGGGGGTCTTGCTTAGGTTAGAAGGTTGAATCAATATTTGACCACCAGCCCACCAACACAACACTAAACTCAGGCTAGGTATTTATCTCAGTGAAGGGGCAAACAAATATATGATGCCAACCTGTATCTATTCATATGAATCCCTCAAAGTCTTCCCTATTCAATGAACATACCAAACATCTAGGTAAAAGCCTCAATATTTGGTGAACTTGTGACTTTGACAAATATAATTACCAGAAATCTAGTTTAATGGTCCTGTAAGTAATTGCCTACAATTTGTGTGGAGTCATTTTAAGGTCACTTTTCTCATAAACTTGGACTAATTTCAAATGGCCTGAATGGTTGAATGTGATTCTATGAGACAAATTCATAATTATTAATGTTTATCAAAAATCGTTCCGTCATTTTGTTATGAGCTATTGTGATTGATGAAAATAACTGACAGCGATTCAACATTTATTATTTTGATTGAAAGAAATATTTGAAAATAATTTCCTCTGAATATCATGAATCCAATTAGCATTAAAATGGTAAAAATTAGAACTTCTTAATCACATCAATATGAATTCCAGTAATACAATAATATCCCTTGTGTCACTCAATGAAGAATTATTTCAATTTAATATCTTAAAACTCTCAAAAGCACATCTGTTAGGATCAACTTCTTCATGTTAGATATACCGCTGTGGTTTGGAAATACACAGTGTCATCTAAACACAACCCTGTACAAAGTTTCATTAAAAAAGTCATAACAAAGGTCAAGGTCACGGCAGCCATCATTTTCAAAATCTGTCATTTCAAAAGTTGCCAAGAAAATCTGATAGTCCAAATCCCCGCATCAGCTCCCATGACCCCTATGAACATTCGCTCAAAACTAATATTGCCTTTCCCTCTTCAGAGCTTGCCTAATATGAGCTGCAGATGGTGTCCACAGACAGAGTCAATATCTTTGATGTTTAGGTTCCAAGGGAAAAAAATGGTCCCCATATTATGAGATCCTCTCTCTGACCTGATGTCTTGGTGGTGTAATATTTCATGGGTCATCATGGATACTGAGTTTTCCATCAACTTTCATTGAGAAAGCAAAATAATAAACAAAATAGCAAAGAATAGCAAAACACCATTATGCTCTTTTGCTGATTAAAGAGCATTATGAGCATTTTCGTATTTGTATTTTTGCATGTATAGGTTTGTGGGGTCTGAGATAGGAGTTATGTGATTTTGATGACAGATTGTTACATATCTCTTCTGATTTCAATGTCAGGACAAGAAGTAAACTGGGTGAAATACCAGTCCAATCCAATCTATTGTACAAATGTTTCCTCCTGCTTGTCATCATCATCTTCATCATCATCATCATCCCTTAAGTGAACAAAGTGTCAGGACTGACAGACCTTTAACCTTCAAAATGTGCCTTGTGCAATGTAACTCAGCATTTAATAAAAAATAAGGTACACTTACCACAAATTTTGATGTTTTTCTTCTTTTCGTCCAGCATGATGTTTTCCATCTTCAGGTCTCTGTGAAGAGATGAAATATACATTAACATATATGAAACAGACATCAAGAAAAACTAGAATATGATCAATGAATGAGTGAATACGTATTGGGGTATTTTTTGCAGCTACAGCTGAAGAATATTATCATCAGGAATACCACTAGGCATCAAACAATAATCATATTGTGAATTGTGAAGAGCAAGGATTTTAACTACTACCAACACCATATGATCAATAAAATATATGCACGACCTTTAACATGAAATATACAGGAGACAACAACCTTACAGTGCAAAGTGAAATTAAAAAGACATAAAATATATAAACTTATAATAGGTAAAGTAAATATGTTGGAAAAACAGACAATAGCAGGTACTAACAGGTACTAACAATGAACAATACTCCGTCATATTTATATCAGATTGATATTATTATGCTCTATGTACATGTTTGTTATGTGTCTGTAAATGGTGTGGATATGGTGCTATCATCAATATTAATACATTTCACTCACATTATTCCCAAGCTTTTTATATACTATGTAGAAAAAGAATTAATTCAGAGACATAAATCTCCCAGTTAAATTTTTCAACTCAAATATAAAATACTGGTTTGAATGTACTTCTGGTACTTAGTTAGACATTGAAACACCATGTAAGCAGTTGCATCTACTGTTAGTCACCAGCAAAGCCTCTGAACTACAGAGTGGACTATGGACATTATTTATTGATTTATTGACACTGGCTCTGAAAAAATGCTTCGTCAGCGTGTCAACAAACATTGGTCATTGTTTGCTCACTGATCCAACTAATGACAGCAACACTGAATGCCCAGACATCTTTCACAGGTCTTTGAAATAAACCACATAAATTGTACCATAAATCTAAAAGCATTCATATGCCAAATTTAATGCACAATTGTTAATCCAATCATTACCCTCATCTCCTTCAAATTACAGTAGTTCAGTCTGCCTTAACAGTTAGTGTACACAAAAACTGTGAAGTGTAATGGGGAACCTGCAAGGAGACCTTTTTTGTCCTTCACTCTTTATGTTAACCGTTGTTATTTTAATTGACATGCCATATATTTCACTCAAATGACCGGATGCTGATAAGATATTGATGTTTGAACTGACCAGTCTATAGAAAGTGAACCACTGGTCAGTTGCCTAGTATTAATGGGCCTTGACCTTTCGCCTGACCCCTGTCTCATTGGAATGTCAAGTACAAGAAGTTGGTTATTTGACTGTGACATACATCTATGTAGTATGGGAAAGGCTTAGTTTAATGAAACAAACTAGTGGTTATGGTCCTATTACAGCTGTTGTTTGAAAGCCACTTTTACACTCATATTTCAAGTTGCATTTCAAGAATTTATTCAGGTAGTGCTTATACCACAGCCTTATCATACAGTTTAAGCCCTTTACATATTCATAATAGCATACCCAGTGAACAGCAATCTGAATGAAATATTATCATGAATGATGCCAACTTGACTAATACTCTGTGGTTATATCACACATCATTGGTACTGTTATAATTTTGACTGAATAAGTACATGTTAACACTTTGGTACAATATGGATAATCTGCACTATGAAAATCTTATATCTACATTACATGGTACTTTATCATTGATATCATTATCACATAATGTATTTTGATCCATATACAATCTGTGATTCTTTGCAACCTGCACTGAGTAGGTGTACATGTACAACAACAAATTATCTTCTGTTTTTTCTTCAAGAGATTGTATCAGCTAGTTTCCTTGCAAAATAAAAGTCTGAATCCGAGGGATGCAGATGCTTCATCCTGCTCTCCCCCCTTCTCCCTACCTCTCTCATTACTGGAGCAGGTGTGTTCTATACAGTGTCATGGAACTATACCCTCAACCCCCTGCACCCCTATCCCCTTCCCTCGCCACATCTACAATAATAAACTCAGGTCCTTATCAGATTGAACTGACACCACAGTTTGACATCACTCCACACACCAAGACCCCTATCCCTCTCCCCTCGCCCTCCCCCAACCCCCAACACCACATCCATTTGAACACTTTACTGTAGACTCTGTGAAAAAAAGGCCAGAAAAACTTACAGATGATTATTCCAGATGAAAACATATGTATGGCAAACCCTGAAAGTTTATAGCTTTTCTGTTCAGAGCAGATTTAACTGTGGCACATTTGACAAGTATGATGAAAGATGTTTATTTCATATTTATGTATGTCAATAACATCAGTATCAGAACAGAACGGAAATGTTACAATGTTCTCTGATACGACTGATTCTGCATGTTTGCTTAGAGAAAACTACGCTTACAACATGTGTATAAGCATTCTTAATGTTCACATATCTTGAAATATCTGTTCAAATTACTTTCAAATCATACTGATGTACATACATGCAAGTATCAGCATCAGTCTGACAATCATGCCCATATACACTGAAAGTTGTGGCGAAACAGTGTCAATATCATGTACATTTACATGGCCCATTATGGTCGTGAATGATAAATATATATAACTATATTATGTTGGTGCCATATATAGAGAGATATGTGTCAGTTAATGAGAGTAATCATTTATATTTGAGTAATCAGTATAGTGGAAGAATGAATATATAGGTTTCGCATATACACAGACATGTACTATTATGCATAAGTGCATAGCTTGAAGGGAACATATACACAGACTGATATGTACAGCAATCAGTAACAGCTATAGTTGAAGGATGTCGATAGCATGTTCACATCCACAGTCTTGTGAGGAATCATTGTGGTTGAGGGGCAATATCATGTACATATACACCAGCTAGTAAGGCCATGAGTAATCTCTATGGTTGAAGGATGTCGATAGCATGTTCACATCCACAGTCTTGTGAGTAATCATTGTGGTTGAGGGGCGTGGATATCATGTACATATACACCAGCTAGTAAGGCCATCAGTAATCTCTATGGTTGAAGGATGTCGATAGCATGTTCACATCCACAGTCATGTGAGTAATCATTGTGGTTGAGAGGCAATATCATGTACATATACACCAGCTAGTAAGGCCATCAGTAATGTCTATAGTTGAAGGATGTCGATAGCATGTTCACATCCACAGTCTTGTGAGGAATCATTGTGGTTGAGGGGCAATATCATGTACATATACACCAGCTAGTAAGGCCATGAGTAATCTCTATGGTTGAAGGATGTCGATAGCATGTTCACATCCACAGTCTTGTGAGTAATCATTGTGGTTGAGGGGCAATATCATGTACATATACACCAGCTAGTAAGGCCATCAGTAATGTCTATAGTTGAAGGATGTCGATAGCATGTTCACATCCACAGTCTTGTGAGTAATCATTGTGGTTGAGGGGCAATATCATGTACATATACACCAGCTAGTAAGGCCATCAGTAATCTCTATGGTTGAAGGATGTCGATAGCATGTTCACATCCACAGTCATGTGAGTAATCATTGTGGTTGAGGGGCAATATCATCATACATATACACCAGCTAGTAAGGCCATCAGTAATGTCTATGGTTGAAGGATGTCGATAGCATGTTCACATCCACAGTCTTGTGAGTAATCATTGTGGTTGAGGGGCAATATCATGTACATATACACCAGCTAGTAAGGCCATCAGTAATGTCTATAGTTGAAGGATGTCGATAGCATGTTCACATCCACAGTCTTGTGAGGAATCATTGTGGTTGAGGGGCAATATCATGTACATATACACCAGCTAGTAAGGCCATGAGTAATCTCTATGGTTGAAGGATGTCGATAGCATGTTCACATCCACAGTCTTGTGAGTAATCATTGTGGTTGAGGGCAATATCATGTACATATACACCAGCTAGTAAGGCCATCAGAAATCTCTATGGTTGAAGGATGTCGATATCATGTTCACATCATGTGAGTAATCATTGTGACTGAGGGGCGTGGATATCATGTACATATACACCAGCTAGTAAGGCCATCAGAAATCTCTATGGTTGAAGGATGTCGATAGCATGTTCACATCCACAGTCATGTGAGTAATCATTGTGGTTGAGAGGCAATATCATGTACATATACACCAGCTAGTAAGGCCATCACTAATCTCTATGGTTGAAGGATGTCGATATCATATTCACATCATGTGAGTAATCATTGTGACTGAGGGATGTGGATATCATGTATATACACCTGCCATTAAGGCCCTGAGTAACAGCTATGGTTGAAGGATGTAGATATCATGTTCACATCATATGAGTAATCATTGTGACTGAGGGATGTGGATATCATGTAATCACTATGGTTGAAGGATGAAGATATCATGTTCACATCCATGTACAATCATATGAGTAATCATTGTGGTTGAGGGATGTGGATATCATGTATATACACCTGCCACTAAGGCCCTGAGTAACAGCTATGGTTGAAGGATGTAGATATCGTGTTCACATCATATGAGTCATCCATGTGACATGTGGATCATATGAGTAATCATTGTGGTTGAGGATATCATGTTCACATCATATGAGTAATCATTGTGACTGAGGGATGTGGATATCATGTATATACACCTGCCACTAAGGCCCTGAGTAACAGCTATGGTTGAAGGATGTAGATATCATGTTCACATCATATGAGTAATCATTGTGGTTGAGGGATGTGGATATCATGTATATACACCTGCCACTAAGGCCCTGAGTAACAGCTATGGTTGAAGGATGTAGATACATGTTATGGGTTAGGAATATCCTGTACACATATGCTGATATATACGGTACTTGCCTGTGGCTATTTTGCTTGTTACACCCTCTTCCTGGGCCAGCACATGCTGTGACATTGTGTAACACTTGTGTAAGTTTGTTTATATGTTAAAGCTATACAGGTCCAGCCACAATGCAGATATTGTAACTCAGAGACCTTGGAATCTGCCCTGTTTCCAATGATGATCAAACTCAAACAGTTTTTAATTATTGACATAAGCTTAAAAGGTTCTTACTCGTATTATGCCATGGATTTAACAAAACATAGA